CTATGTCAAGTCTGAATTTTAAAACTTGAACATAATTATATTGCTTTCAAACCTGTCTTATATTTATTTAGTCTGCAAATAGTGTAATAAAATCAGTATCTCAAAACCAGATAATACATTTGAGTCATTCAAACTGTTATCAAACATGTCACTGGAGAAGCAATTCAATCAATAAAAAAATTTCTAATTAGCATATTAATTATTTGCGAATAAAAGGTGATTCCAAAGTACACGAGGGAACTTGAGGACATATTAGTTTGTCTTCTCGTTCTATATATCCCTATGAAATATTTTTGCACTATTAATTTCCAATAATCTAGGGGAAAAGATTTTGCTAATTAAAAGAAAACGTCAGCCCAGCCTTTGCATTAATTATCACATATTCTGTCTTGATAGGACTTAAATTAATGAGGCCCAGGTTCCTCCAAAATGGCACGTATTAAATAAAATCTGGACTTGACCGTGCATTCCTGTGGATATTGAAGTACATATGCATATTGGCTGCCAGGCAAATAAATTTTCAAAGTATGCAATTACCAAAGCTATGTGGGCCTTGCCCTGCTATCCATGAGCATCTCAATTACCTTCTAGTCATCAATGAAATAGGGTTCTGCAAAGATTCAAACTAGTTTTCTTGACCACCAACCACTTGTGCATATCAAATTTCCGAGCATACAAACGATTCCTTATAGAAAATAGAAAGTTCTCACAAAAAACTAAGATCCCAACAAAAAGGAAAGAAGAGACACAGTCTATTAAGTAGCCTTTTACATCCACTGCTAAAGTGTCATTAGACTGTAATTAGGTAGTTCACGTTTTATTTTTATAGAGTTGTTCATGTTTCTAATTGATTGGCTCCTAATGCTAAGAGGGAATGGAGGGCAGGGTGAGGGCAGCAAAAAGGTACAACATCTATTTTGTTTTGCTTTTCCCCCCTCCCACCATCTAGTTCAGGTATTTTGTGACTGAATACCCTGCCTTCTATTTTAAGTTCAGTATCTGAGCATGCCCTTACTTCTTTCCCCTTTCCATTTACTTTCTGACATCTACAAAATGAGCCACCACATCTGACTGCCACTTACCACATGGTTCCCCTCTACTTTGCCAGCTTCTGGGCCATTGTCTTCCTTTGCTTGAACATCTGATGGTTCTGCACAGTAAGAATCCTGTTTTTTGCATTTAGGGGCATACTTGCAGCACACTAATTGTTTTCCCATTTACTGTCTTTTAGGTTAAGTAAAATCTAAAATTTGGAATTGTTTTAGTTCCTTTTCTATTGCTTATAACAGAATACCTGAAACTGGATAAATTATAAAGAAAAGGATTTTATTTAAAGTTATGGAGGCTAAGTGCAAGGTCGAGGTGCCACATCTGGTGAGGACTTTGCAGAGTGTCACATGGTAAGGGGGGCTCAGCATGCTAACATGTGATCCAGGTCTTTTTTTTTTTTTTCTTTTTTTTTTTTCAGACAGAGTTTTGCTCTTGTCGCCCAGGCTGGAGTGCAATGGCATGATCACGGCTCACTGCAACCTCCGCCTCCCGGGTTCAAGCAATTTTCCTGCCTCAGCCTCCTGAGTAGCTGGGATTACAGGCACCAGCCACCATGCCCAGCTAATTTTTTTTTTTTTTTTTTTTTTGGTAGAGATGGGGTTTCACCATGTTGGCCAGGCTGGTCTCAAATTCCTGACCTCAGGTGATCCACTCGCCTCGGCCTCCCAAAGTGCTGGAATTACAGGCGTGGGCCACCACACTTGGCCTCTCTTCCTCTTCTTATAGAGCCACCAGTCCCACTCTCATGATAACTGATTGATCCACAGATTAATCCATTCATGAGGGCAGAAAGAACCCTCACAATCCAATCATGTCTTAAAATCCCCACGTTTTGATACTGCCACATGAGGGATTAAATTTCAACATGAGCTTTGGAGGGGGCAGATATTCAAACCATAGCAGATATCATTCATTTTAACTTATCAAATTCTTTTCTGATATAACATTAGAATAGTATCAGTATGTTAATTACCAGTCCCATTTTTATAGGGGCAAAATTACTGAGTGAAAGCTAGTTCCGATTTTCTTTCACCTGAATAAAGACGACTTTTAAAACCTTAACGTAATAAAATGGAAAGAAGAAAATATAGATTCTATGAATGAGTCCACCCTCCATTGAACTTTCTTTTTGGCCCATATTCTTCTCCTTCATGCAAACAGTGGTGACAAGGCACACAGTATCTCTGCCTTCCCTGTTTCTATACCACTACTGTTAAATGCTGAATTGAAGTCCACATGAAAGAAAACAATGAGTATATAAATTACTATAGATTTTTCAAGTGCTTCTATTATTTAATTCTAAGAAAATTTTGACTTGCTTGGAGATGTTTTCTGATCAATAAACTATCTTCTGCAGATGTTTGCAATGTGTCGTAGATGGATTCTATACATGCAATACAAATGAGAATAACAAGAATAATTAGTGATTAGAATACCTAATACTTATTAATACCTTACCAAATGCCAGGCACTGTTCTAAATGGTTCGCATGTAATGCCTCATTTAATCCTTATAACACCCTATAAAGGGGATAGTATCATTACCCCATTTACAGAATAAAGAAACTGAGGTAGATTGAGATTAAACCATTTTTTCAGGTTCACAGAGACTAATGTTGCAGACCCTAGCACTGATGATCATAACCACTATGCAATCCTGCCTATTAAGAAATATTAAATGAGAATTGCTACGTTATATATTCAACAGTTTAAAGGGGTTTTTAAAAAAACTATAGAATTTCACAGAGAAATCTCTCTCTCTAAAAAACTAACATCAAATATGAGTTTGAGCATATTGATCATAGTAATTCAATTACATATATTAAGTTTTTAACAAGGATGCACCCTATCAAGTTGATACAAAAAGAGCTGGGTTGTACCAAAGTTAGATGTTGTAGCCTACTTGGAAATACTACTTAAATTTTTATCACTTAAAAGCTCATTACCAACTAAGAAAAAAATGAAATACTTGACATTTTGGTATCTGTGATATTAAAAAGAACTAATATTTAATATTCAAGTGGCAACAGCTTGTAGAGTTTGCACACAACACCCACAGGGATCGATTTTTCTCTAAAACGGCCTTCAGGAGTCTGCCTTTTAAACAGCTGACACCTCCTTTCTCCGTATCCCTCTTTCCTGCCAGCACCATGGGGTGCTCGTGGAGTGCAGCAGCAGACGTGTAATTCTTCACTGCAGGATTTGTCTTTGCAAATAATGGAGAATGAGGGAAATTAAGAGAAATGTAATTTCCACAGAATCAACCTCAGTGTAATCTCGGCTACTAAAAATGAATAGATGTCTTTAGAGGGCTTTTCTCCATATGCACTCTCCGTCCCCTTTATATACCATCTATGAGGAGAGAGAAGAATCATTTATACCTAATTGATCGTCAGTCATTCCACACCTGTACCAAGGCTGCATTATGACAAGTATACTGTTGCCTGGCATTTTTCCAGTATGGCTAATTGTCGCAGTACTAATTTACTTACCTGTGGAATTTTCAACTTCCCCAGCCTGCTGTCAAGAAGATGCATAATAATGGAATAAAGGATTTAAAATGCCGAATATTGTAAATTATTTCACTTATCTTTCAACAGAAGGCTTTGACTAAGCCACATATTAGGTGGCTATAATTACTCATTGCTGGAGTAAAAAACAAACAAAAACCTGTCACATATACGTTTACCTGGTAGAATGACAAGAATCAAGTGAACCAATCTTTTCTGATGTACAGAAAAAAATACCAATCAGATTACCTAAAACATGTTCTTGATCTGCATGGCTTAGAGTAAATGTACCAGTTCAATTACTATTACGTTCCGCATTACAAAACACTTCCTTTCTGTTGTTGTTGTTGTTAGTATATTTAAGAATGTTTTTTCTAGATCAGATAGTAAGACAAAAGAGTAATTTACTGTTTTTTCTCCAAAAAAAGGTGGAAAAATTTCTAAAGGAGATATAGGCATATATGACTTTAATTGCATAAACTAGTAAACTAATTTGGGACATCTATACCAAGCAAATCTGGTCACCAGGATTTTTTTTTATGGTAGATTGTGTTTTTGAAAATTAATATTTCCCACGGAAAGCTATCACCCACAAGTATAATAACTGACATTTTTGTTACAGTTTGTTACAGTTCTTACAGTTGATGGCCCTCACTGTGGTACTTAGATATGTTTGATACATCTGTGAAAATTACCTAGCAACTGTGCAACTGTAATTTTTGTTATAACAAATGTAATTGTAATTTTACCAGTTTTAACAAATATGCCTGATTGTTTATGATAAAGGCAAAAATTTATAGATAAGGTTTAGGATTTCCTAAGGAAATTTGAATAGAATTGCTCATTTAATTCTTACAGTCTATTAAATACAAATTCTATAGGTTGCTTACTCACCCATCCTATAGTATTATTAGGTCCTCTAAGGAAAAAAAAAAAAGTTTTCTGGACAAGTTTGGGAAATGCTGGATTAAATATGTATAGGCTTATCTTTATTGTTGCAAAATATCACTTTAGAAACTTTATTTCAGGCACTTTGATATGCTAATCTGCACTCCGAAGAGAAGGTGTATGGTCTTTTCCAGCCTTATTTGACCCAAAGGTCCTATCACAGCTCATCTCCGAAGCCAAGAGTCTGCTGGCTCTGCCTGACTCACGCCTGGCACATCTCAGGGATTCAATACATTTTAGCGAAATTTCAACATTATCCATTTTCAATTGAATTCAAATGGTCTGTGATATTCTTTGCCTTAGACTTGTTCATGAGGATAAATATGCAAATAGAATCAGAAACACAAACTCATTTTTTCTACCAGATCTCAGCCCACATATTCCAAGGTAAAAGAGTAGCGCAATAATCCATTCTGGCACATTGACCTATAGCAACACTATTCCTTAAAATAGGATTTTTAAGCGGTAGAAAAGGAGAAAAGAAAACAACAGCTTCCTACCCAGCACATGCCTTCCATTTAGCATGTCTGGAAGATCGTCTCCTTCATTTCAAAATTGATAGCCAACTTTTTTTGTTGTTTTGCTATTCAAATTTCTGTCCTCTTTTTTTCCAGCCTATTTGCTCTAACACTGAATTTTAAGCATCTCTAAAAATGCTTGATATGTTATTATTCTTTCCAGATATCCTCTGAGAGCCAAGCAAAGAACATTAACGACGGAAGGAGGAATGAGGCTGGATACGGTGCAGTGAAAAAGGCACTTCCAAGAGAGGGGCACTCACTACCCAGAGACGCGACGGTGCCATCAGCATGAGAACTTACCGCTACTTCTTGCTGCTCTTTTGGGTGGGCCAGCCCTACCCAACCCTCTCAACTCCACTATCTAAGAGGACTAGTGGTTTCCCAGCAAAGAAAAGGGCCCTGGAGCTCTCTGGAAACAGCAAAAATGAGCTGAACCGTTCAAAAAGGAGCTGGATGTGGAATCAGTTCTTTCTCCTGGAGGAATACACAGGATCCGATTATCAGTATGTGGGCAAGGTAGGATTCCTTTGAGTGCTTTGACATTCTGAGTTTAAAAGCCCGAAGAAGTTACTTCTAATATATAGACGGGGAGGATGTGAACTATTCCCCAGTATAGTAAGAATTGTTGCTTATCTGGTTAAGACTTTTTTTTTTTTTTCCACTTGAGTAGTTTCGGAAAGAAGACTGTAGCAAAAAGCTGAGAAATGTTAGCCCTGCAACAAAGAGAGAGAAAATGCTCCAGTTGAAAGTGAAACACCCACAACCAACCGCATAGGATTATCATAAATCCTTTAATTTTTACTGTAGCTTAAAAAATGTGGTCTGGCTATTCTATAAAGTCGGGTGTATTAAAAATAGGAATGGAGAGATTAAGCTGTAAGGAAAGGAAGGCTCCTTTTTCTCTCATTCTAAAAGCAAATATTCTGAGCTATCGTCCTTTGGCCAAGTTCAAATTAACTACTTCTTAACTCTGCTACCTATAGCACCATCATTCTCTGGCCAAATGGAGCCCTTGGCTGTCAAAACCCACCACTGCCTTAGATTTGGCAGCTTCTGCTGCTGCTACTGGTTAGTCTTATCTCAAATAGTTGGCAAAAAAAACAGGTATTTCAAAATCTTGTGATTTAACTGTGGCAAAATTTGTAAAAGAGAAAAATGCTTATGTAAAAGTACTCTTTCCAAATATCATCTGACCATTTTATTGACTCCAGAAAGTAAAGTGAGGAGGCATCGCTTATTATAGCCCTCACAGATTACTGGAGCTGAGTCAGGGAAACAGCTTGGTGAGCCTGTCATCATGAGTTTCGTTGGAATTTTATCATCGGCTCCCTCCTTGTTGCAGAATATCTGCATACTGAAAAGATGTCAAAGAAAAAACAGGGCTACAGGCTTGTGCTTTGTAGGTTCCATGCCTCATAAGGTAATATTGATTTTTTAAAAAATCATTGTCACATATCCCTTCCTAAACAAACTGATAATGAACATAAATAGATACATGAGAAAAGGCATTCATTTATGATTACAGCTATGATTTTAAGACATCTGTATTAGGTTATCATGCAAAAAACATACATTCTGCAGATTCCAAAGGCTGCATGTTCACACTTCAATCTGTGATCAAATATCCCTGAATAACCATATGTAAATATTCTCTTTAAGTATTTACCACCATAAATGAAGGGAAGCCATCCACGGCTTGGGCTGACGTAACCAGGAAGTATTCCAATGATGTGAATTATTAATGTGGAATAACGTGAGAGAGGAAGCATTCGGTGAAGGGGTGAACATCAACACAGATCCCCAAGGATCTAGCCATGTATTTGCTGTGAAATTCACACTCTGTGTGACTACTAAAGACAGTTCAGCTACTTGTACTTCACTCCATTTCCTTTGTGAAATTTGAAGAGAACTAGGTGAATCGGGTGATGGTTGTAAAAAATAATCATCATCTTAAAATCTTTAAAGCACTTTTTACAACACAAATAGCATTGTTGCCATAGAAGATTAAGTTTTAAAAAGTGCTTTATCTAAGTGATGGTTCCCCTTTTTCCTTTCCAGTTTTCCTCTCCAATTGTGATGCCATTTTACACCTATAATGCCACATATTCTTAAAAAAAAGTGGGGGTGGGGGTGTTGGGGCAGGTTATTTCAGGATACTACAAACAGCAGTGGCTAAACCCACGTAAGAATCAGTTTTACAATTATAATTATGAGAAGTAATAGTGCCATGGGGAAAAGTTACAAGCTGTGGACTCGAGCAGATCCGAGAATGCGTCACTGTGCTGCCAGTTGCCAATTATGTGACCCAGGACAGGTTGTTCACCTTTCTGGGCTTTCATTTCTTCATCTGGAAAGTGCATGCACCAATGCCTACCTGGTAGAGTTGCAGTAAAGTGATACAGGCATTAGTGGCAGGGACAGAGTAGGTGCATAAAGAAGTTACTATTATTGGTAAAAATCCATCGTATATGTTCTATTAAATCCATGTGTAACACATTGAAGTGGCATATTGACTTTCATATCACTGCAGAAGTAAAATGAGGTAATTAACAAAGCTCGGTGGAAAATACAGAGAATCATGGCAAAATCTCTTCACAACCACAGCTTTGACTGGATTAGTTGGATTTGGATATTTTATTGGCAACTAGATAAACTTCCCTCCCTCCTCATCACCTGTCCTTCCCTGCTGCCCCTCCTTCTTCTCCTTGTAGTTATAACACATGAGATATTTGCTGGAAAAAAAAATCAAGGGCAACAACTGAAGTTGTCAAAGTTGCCGCCATGGCTGTATCAGACATGTGTTAAAGGTGGTTTTGAACTGTTGATATGACATTTTCTCAAATTCCTCTTTGAAGTTATATGATATCAACAGATCAAACAATTAGACGAGTATTTTTTACCACAATTAAAAATAATAGAAAAAAATACATTTTTAAAAAAGATAAAGGAGAGAGTTGCCCCTCATTTGTGGCCACAAGTTGGTCCACCTTTAATTTACCTGGAATAAAAGATACACCCGTTGCGTTGCGATTATCCTGCTCCACTAGGTCAGCAAGCTCTTGGCAGGAAAAAAATGATTAGACCAGAGCCGAGGTTCCAAAACTTTCTTGGTTCACAGAGCCCTTTTTCACAGAGCCCTTAGGCTCAAAGAAATACCTTATAGTGCCATGTATTAAATACTTCGACTCAAACAACTTAATAAGAATTTTTGCTTTAACAACTGAATAATTATTTGAAAAAATACACATAAATGGATAAAAAAAATTTATTTCACTCTTAACCACAGTTACAAATGGTATGTGTGCATCTCTTGAGCATGGCACAATTTCTCAATCAGATTGGACACAGCCCTCTCATTTCCTTTTCCACCTTGATTTTTGCACTGTAATTGCTTTTTATTACAGCCACTATGGAAAACCCAGCTTTATAAATATAAATCATTGAAAGGAATGCAGCACCACCTACTGTTGAAACTGTGAACTACCTTGAGCGAGTAATTCGCAAGGGGTCTGGAGAGGTCACGTGCTGCTGAATTTCCCTCCTTTTCCCTCCTTTTTTTTTTTTTATTTTTTATTTTTCTTCTTGTTTGAACTGTGGTCTTGCTCTGTCACCCAGGTTTAAGTTCAGCAGCGCAATCTCCGCTTACTGTAGTCTTGGCTTCCCGGGCTCAAGCTGTCCTCCCGCCCCAGCCTCCCAACTAACTGAGACTACAGGCATGAACCACTACACCAGGCTATCCCTCCAAATTTAAAAATATTTCCTGGTCAGCTCCCTCCTGCAACCCAGGTTGCCTCAGTGCATACTCTGGGAACCATTAGAATAGTTAGGTTGACATATAAAGGTGTACCAAGGCTAATAGAACCTTTAATCATGCTATTTAAGCAGATTACTACTAAATAAAAATCACTCCGAGCCCATCGTGGGTGCCTAACACTCAAAGGATCTATCTGTATGTGGAAGGATAGAAGCATTAACTGAGGAAAAGTAATACTGTTGAGAAAATAAAACTTAACATAGAAGAAATGTTTACATTATAAACATCTGTTTGTCTTTGTGTTGATTCGAAATTATGATGACGCAAATTAATTTGTGGTAAGTCATCATGAGGATGGTGGAGTGAGGAAAATGAGAATCAGTGAGGGAAACAAAGGGCTTTCAGGTGTAGAAGGGAAAAAAAAAAAAAAAGAGAGGGTCATGGCTGGCGGTGGGCGTCACAGCAGCCAAAGAGGAGTCCAGGGGCTGGAGTGGCAATGACGAGAATAGACAAGATGGTGCTTTACAACTGAAGCACAAGCAACTGCAGCGAGACCTTGCTGCTCCATCTTAACCTTGCTCAACCTTCCACTGCGTTCTGTTGCCAGTGAGATGAATGCAGAGACACGGACAAGACAAGGTGGGGAGGAATAGTGGAGAAAGCCCATTATAGCTGAAATATTGACAAAACAAATTCTGATTTATGAGAAAATGTCAACTTCCACTCACTTAAAATGGTGCTGGCAGGGAGAGGTAACAGGATAGGAGGTAATAAATGGTCCTGTATTGGGTAAGTTTCTGAGTTTGTGAGTTTCAGATATAAAACCGGGATGTGATTGTTTTCTAAACCGCGTCTCCATTTGGGGGCTGCTTGGAGCTGCTTTAGCTTGAGTGGCATCTGCGTCACCTGGGAACTTGTTAGGAATGCAGAGTCTCAGGCCCCAGCTCCAATCTGAGTGAATCAGAAATCTGCATTTTAACAAGATCCCCAGGTGAATCGTATGCATGTTAAAATTTGAGAAGTGCTGCTTTTAAAAATGCCTTCCCTGGGTCTCACCTCCCCAGACATTCTGATTTAGTTGGTTTTTAATTATTTATGATTCTAACATGTTGCCAAATTTGGGAACCACTGTCCTAGGAGGATCTTACTGCCAATCGTGATAACAAAATGTGGCAAGTTCAGTGATAAATTGGGCATCCACAAAGTGTTATCAAAATAAAAAGGAGAAGAGCCAACCAGGCTCTGGGGCTCAGCAGAGCTTCCTAGGTGTTTGAACCCCATCTACAGACAGAGCAAGTGTTAGCTTATACCGCAGAGGGAGAATTGCCAGGACCTCCCAATTAATCGGATGGAGAAGCCAAAGGTCTGAAAGCTGGAGTTCAAAGGGTCAGAGATTTAGAGATTGAACAACCAGCAGAGTGAAAGAGTCCTCACACTGACACAGAAAACACAAAGAGGTACATATTTTCTTGTCATGGGCTAAAGAAAAGAGTGTTTTATTTTTGTACAAAATCCACTTCGGTTATCTTTGGCTTATGTAAACTTAATATAGTAGAAAAATGGAAGGAAGCCTTATCATTCCACATTTTCAGAGATCCCTGTAACTCTGTAGCCTGTTTTCTGTAATGTAGCAATTTCCTGGCGATGATTGGTAGATAGTCTACCAATCATCTTGGTAGATAGTCTACCAAGTAGATTGGTAGATAGTCTACCATTCTTATGGAAAACCATCATTTCCATAAGAAAAAAAGAGCACAGGTAG